GAGATAAATTTTCACGTGAAAATTCGATTTCATGCTTGAGGAGTATACGTGTAGAACTGTTTACTTGACAATATTTTTTTTTCTTATATTTATACATATCTCGTCTGTTTGTATATTTGTATATTTTTATTTTCCTTTGTTACCATTATTTTTATACCTCAGTGTATAATTGTTCATATAACAATAATTTTCTTGTAATTTTTCTAATGGTTTAATACTCGCAGAACTGTTTACTTGACAATATTTCCTTTTCTTATACTTACACACATCTCATCTATACATTTGTATATTTTTATTTTTACTTTTATCTTTATTCTTTTTTATTTTTATTTATTTTCGTTACCATTATTTTTATACCTCACTGTATAATTGTTCATATAATAATAATTTTCTTGTAATAGTCCCAATGAGTTAATACTAGTAGAATTGTTTACTTGAAAATATTTTTTTTTTCTTATACTTATACACATCTCGTCTATACATTTATATATTTTTATTTTTCTTTGTTACCATTAATTGTATACCTCACTGTATAATAATTCATATAATAATAATCTTCTTGCAATTTTTCTAATGAGTTAATCCCGTATAAATAAATAAATAAATAAATATTTTTGTATTTCTCGAACGAACCGTAGACAATTTTTATAATTGTGAAAAGATAATCGCTTTTTGGAAGCTCTTTCTGCAAACAGAAATTGATTAAAAGTAAAAATAAAAGATAAATTTACAATCACGAATGCGTAGCTCTTAGCTTGGCATCATTTTCCAAAGATTTTTCATTTCTTTGAAAAATGATGCCAATTTCCAGGTCTCACCACGTGGAGGTGGCTACGCATCGAGACCCGACATGCGCCCTAGTGGCGCAGCCTGCTGGTGCTACCTGTATCAAAGGTACCCTAATCTAACTTGGAGCGAATTAAAGTGACTCTACTGACACTTTATTTTATTTCGTGTCTTTCAAAGGGAATTAGATTCGCTATACTATAACTCTACTGTCGCAACGCTAAGATATTTTCAAATTCCCATAAAAATAGGGAATGAAATACCAAACACGCGAGCAAATAAAAAATCGCGACGCGCCCGAACGAATTCGCGATTATTCGAAAGACCGACCAGCCTAGGCGATGTACTCTCGTGTACAGAGATAACTTGCATTCCTCGGCACCCTCCCGATCGGGCCTAGCTCAAGTCCAGTCACTGTCGTTCTCGTCATGACTTCCACGTGGACCAAGGTTAGTCCCTGAACCAATGAAACTTCTAGTGTCAACGCGAGGGCCCTGCTGGGCGGTTGCCGGCCAAGACAGACACTTCGCATCCCAGCCACACGGGGTAGAACTTAATCATCCCTGTGGTCTAACCGTAGATGGTACTAGTCCGTCAGCCAGCATGTGCCCGAGCCCAAGTCGCGTACGACTTAGGCAGCGGACCGCCCCGTCGAGGTCAGAAGACGCACTGATCCGAGGGGGTCTCCCCGGAACCCGATGCATGACGAGATTGACAGTGGCTGGAAATTAGTGTCGGAGACGAGTCGTGAGGATGACTTACGAAGCATGTACTTATCCAGTACACGAGAGCGCGTCGCGTAGGCTAGTCGGTACTTAGGAAAGATCACGATTATCGCGAGAACGATTACGTTCTGTTTGGTGAACGACAGGGATGAAAGAGAATGAATATAGAATGGATATATTCGCTCTAAGTTAGGTAGCTTACCTTTGTGCAGATAGCGCGCACATGATACTTAGGCTAGAGATCTATCTTATAACTGCTTACAACTAGTTAGATCTAAACGCGCGCATATCGCGTCGTTCATTGATGCGTCGCAAATGAAGCCTTGAGGAACCTAAAAGCTGAAACAGAATATATTATTGTTAACATGTATCTGAAAGGAAAGGGATAAGTACGAGGAAACCACGAAGGTTAATAACCAAGTGGAACGAGCAAGCCAACGACGAGACCTGAGCAACCTAACTACGAGACAGAAACATTCCAACGGAGAGATATAAACATACCAACGAGGAAGCGCTCGAGTATTATACGAAATACTCGAACGCTCTAACGAAAACAAATCGAACGGAAGTCGTAAAATTTGTGAAAGGAAAGATTTAGCCAACGATGAGACATAAATAAAGCAATGACGAAGCATTCGAATATTGTACGAAATACTCGAATGCTGAAACAAAGAGACAAATAGAATGATAGAAATAAAATCTGGAAGAAAAATAATTAGAACCTGAAAGAAGAAATTATTGTTAAATTATTTAAGAGAGTGGACTATGGCCACTGAATAGCCATTGATCTAGCCAACGATGATATACAAATAAACCAACGACGAAGCATTCGAATATTGTACAGAATACTCGAATGCACAAACAATGAAATTTAGAATAAAAGAAATAGAATCTGAAAGAAGAAGGATAATTAAAACCTGAAAGAAAAAATAATTAGTACCTGAAAGAAAGAATTACTATTAAATTATTTAAGAGAGTGGACAATGGCCACTGAATATCCATTGATCTAGCCAACGATGATATACAAATAAACCAACGACGAAGCATTCGAATATTGTACAGAATACTCGAATGCACAAACAATGAAATTTAGAATAAAAGAAATAGAATCTGAAAGAACAAAGATAATTAAAACCTGAAACAGAAAGAAAAAATATTAACGCGGACCTTCCGAAGTCGAACCGACAACTGGCTTGAGCCTTCACGCGGGCCCCTTATATAGGCGGCGGCCGGCCGGCCGAAGATCGGCGAAAATTTCCGAACTTTACCGATTCCTTTAAAAGCTACATTTACGCTGTAATAATTAATGATTTATTAACTTTTTCGACTTTAATCGTTAATCTGCGATGCAAACTATTTGTTATCAATGATTCTAATTTGCTATTAACAATAAATTTATCAATTTATTTACTTTTTGTAAGTTACGAATTCATTTTAACACAAGTACGTCGTTTGTTTAAAAGGTAGTTAATAAAGTATTAACTTTTTAGTCTTTTATCGTTAATATACGTTGCAAACTATTTGTTATCAATGATTTTAATCTGTTATTAACAATAAATTTATAAATTTATTAACTTTTTGTAAGTTACGAATACATTCTAACACAAATACGTCGTTTGTTTAAGTAATAGCTAATAATTTATTAACTTTTTTACTTTTATCTTTAATATACGTTGCAGAGAATTTATTACTAGCAATATTAATTTGTTATTAACAACCAGTGTAGCAATTTAATAACTTTCTGCAAATTATACATTGCTAAATTTTAGACACTTTAACACAAATAAGTTGTATGTACAAGTAATAACCAATAATTTACTAATTTTTTACATATATTATAAATTTACGTTGCGAGCAATTTCTTATTAGCAATAAGTGTAATAATTTATAATCTCTTTAACAAATTGTAGGTATATTTAAAGATTAGTACGTTATAGTTTCAAGTAATGACCAATAATTTATTAATTTTTTACTTTTATTATAAATTCACGCTGTGCACAATTTATTATTCACGATATTAATTTCTTATTAATAGTGAAATTTGTACATTCTACTTACCTTGCAGTACTTACCTTAAATATTAATTATCTCAAATTACGTATTAATTCTACAGATATTGCCCGTTCTTTATTTTCATAGTTCAAAGAGAACATTGAAAATTTACAAGATATAGGAAATACCTTAAACTTTGGCGTAGCTCTTAGCTTGGTATCTTTTCCCAAAGATTTCTCCTTGGAAAACGATACCAACTACCAGGTCTCACCACGAGGAGGTGGCTACGCATCGAGACCCGACATGCGCCATAGTGGCGCAACCTGCTGGCGCTATCTGTATTAAAGATTCCCTAACCTAACTTGGAGCGAATTAAGTTAAATTGACTCTACTGACACTTTATGAATTTTCGTGTCTTAGCAAAGGGACTTCGATTCGGTATACTAAAATATTTACTCTACTGTCGCGACGCTAAGATATTTTATTTAACAGACTCTAATATTTCTACGTTCCCACAGAATTGGGGAATCGAATATCAAAATCGCGGGCGAAGAAAAAGTAAATGAAAATTCGAAAGACAGAACGAGTTCGCGATTAATCGAAAGACCAACTAGCCAATGCAACGTACTCTCGTGCACAAGAGAATTACATGGCCCAATATCCTCCCGATCGGGCCTAGCTCAGCCAAACCACTGTCAATCTTGTCACGACTTACTCGTGAACCAAGATAGCCGACGAACCAACGAAACTTCCAGCATCGATCCGAGGGCCCAGCGAGGCCTAGCAGCTGGACAAACATTCCGTGGGGTAAAACTTAATCATCCCAAGCAGACTGATCGAGAACACGTCATGCCCGTCTAACTACAGGACCTATACCCCAGTTGTGTACGCGATGGTACAAAGACGATTAGGGCATACAGACCCTCGTATCGATACCGAAAGAGCCATCAGCCCGCCGACCACCCTAGAACCCGACGCGTGACAAGATTGACAGTGGCTGGAATGAGTGTCGGAGACGAGTCGTGAGGATGTCTTACAGAGCATGAAATTGTCGAGTACACGAGAGTACATCGTATAAGGTAGTCGGTACTTAAGAAAAATCGCGATGATCGCGAGGACATTTATGTTCTATGTAGAAAAGGAGGGAGATAAGAAATAAAGAATGGAGATATTCGCTGCAAATTATAAGGTTGGTGCGTATGAAATGTCGGATTTTTAAGTGAATGTATAAAACTGTATCTTTCTTCAAAATCTCTTTATTCAATCAAAATATGCTCCATGCGCTTCAGTATACCTTTCCCAACGAGACATTAAAGCATAGATGCCTGTCTTAAAAAAATTCTGATCTTCAGAATCAATAAACTCTGATATTGAATTTTTCAAACTGTCTTCCTTTTCATACTGTTTAGCCCGTAAAAACAGTTCTAAATGTCTAAAAAGATGAAAGCCCGTTGGCGAGAGCTCAGGTGAATAGGCTGGGACCTGCAAAACTCTTCTTTACCTTGCCAATTTCAGAAAGATGTCGTAATATTGCTGTATGGTCAACGTTCACCCTGGTAGCAAGTTTTCTCGTGGATACAGTTGAATTCGCTTCCACCAATGCCTTCAGATCATCATTTTTCAAAGAAGCTTTGGGTCTTCCACGCGGATCATTTTGTAGTGAAAAATCATCAGAACGAAATTTCTCAAACCAATGCTGCACTTTTCGATCGTTAACTGTATTCTCCCAAAACGCTTGGCTTATGTTGCGTGCAACTTTTGTAGCATTATTACGAAGCTGAATGTCATACAAAAAAATTACGCGAATATCGGTTAAATTCATATTGGTACAAAATTCAAAACAAATAACAAAAGGGAACACTGTCACGACAATCTCCTTCGTTGAAATATGACTCTGGCAATGGACAATACGACTATAAACGAGGTTACGCCAAAAACAAAAGTATAACAAAAGGAAGGAGACAAACGCTTCCATGTAAAAAAAATCCGATATAACATATGCACCAACATAATACTTTGCATTACGGAAAATGTCTGACTGATGGTACTACCTCGCATCACTGAAAATGTCTGACAGATGTCACTTCTTCGCATCACTGAAAATGTCTGACCGATGGTACTACTGAGCGTTATTGAAAATTTCTGACCGATTCTAGTTCGCATCACTGAAAATGGCTGACCAGTGCCAGCTTATATCACTGAAAATGTCTGACCGATGGTACTACTTTGCATCACTGAAAATGTCTGACGGATGTTACTACTTCGCATCACTGAATATGTCTGACTGATGTTACTACTTCGCATCACTGAAAATGTCGGACCGGTGTTACTACTTTGCATCACTGAAAATGTCTGACCGATGTTACTACTTTGCATCACTGAAAATGTCTGACCGATGGTACTACTGAGCGTTATTGAAAATTTCTGACCAATTCTAGTTCGCATGACTGAAAATGGCTGATCAGTGCCAGCATATATCACTGAAAATGTCTGACCGATGGCACTGCTTTGCAACACTGATAATGTCTGACCGATTGTACTACTTTGCATCACTGAAAATGTCTGACCG